AGCCCTGGCCACAGGTTTTGCCCATGTAAATGTCATGAGGCTGTTGGGAGCAAAATCTGGTGCCAGGAAAAATAGGGAAAGGCCAGCCAAAGAAAAGGGTTTGGTAGTTCTCACTACCTGTGGAAAATAACCAAGGCTGGAGAGGCCATCCCAACCTGAACACAAATAGGAGCTCTCAGGAAACAAAACTCCTGATGCCACATTGTGTCCTGTGAGAACACCGAGGGCACTGGCGTCATTGCCTACTGATCCTGCATCTGTGGCAGATATCACTAAGAAATTACCACATTTGGAACACAGATACAGCCTTTGAAGCTGACTCAGTACAGCCTCCCCGAGGCAGCCATTGCCATCAGTCACCCCCAGCATGAAAACCAGTTGAACAAAGAAGTCAAACTTCCCAGCCTGGCTCTTTGTGGTCTCAATGTCTCTTTCCACCTTGTCCCTGCCCATCCATTTCCTATTACACGCCAGGCTCCAAGTTCCTTAAACTACTCAGCATCCCCAAGCACACATGTCTCATTTGTGCTCTTCAAAGCTTTTGTCCTTGACAGTTCCTGGGATGTCCTGTGTGTGTACTGTGGGTTGTTCCTCAATATCTGTTCTCCCACTCCCCAGGGTAATGCCCACTTCTCAGTGGGCATTTAGCCACCCAGCAAAGAATACTGTCTGGCCTCCCACGGACCTGAGTAAGTATGTAACTAAGTTCCAGCCAGGGGGAGGTAGGCAGAGCAAAGTAGGCCTCCTTTTTCAAGTCCTGCTTTTGGGGGTTGGGGTATGTCCTCTCCTTGTCCCTCCCCCTTTCATGCTGGCCATGGGATGGCAAGAATCAAAGCAGTTGCCAGGGGCCCAGAGAAGGGAGCCATAAGATAAAGATGGCGGAGTCATCTCCCAATCCTCAACCAGGGTACCTTGACCTGCTCAGTAAGAGAGCCTTGCAAGATCTCTACTTTAAGTCCCTGTGTTTGGGGACTTTGAGTATGGTAGCAGCTGTGACTATTCCCTCCCACCTGCTTCCTGATTCCATGTGCCCAACCTCCTTGGCCACCTCAGGAAAGCTTTCCCAGAGTCCCAAGCTCCTTCATGATAGGTGACTCTCACCAGCACTTGTGAACCAGAGTAGCTGAGGTGTCTCCCACTAGACTAGGTGAAGTAACTCCATTCTTTCTCTACCCAGGTGCCAGTAAGGGCACTGACACCCAGAACTGATTCCACGATTCCTTGCTCCCACTGGGCAGCCAAAGCCCTTCAGCCTGGTGGTCAAGGCCTTGGCTTATCCTTCCCTCTTAGAGACCAGGCACAGGCAGAGGGGCAGGCCCTGGTTTCCTCCATGTGCAACAACGTACCACCCCTCACACCACTAGCCCCAGCTTGGTCATGGTGCATGCCAACCACGCCCAGCCCCAGCCCAGCAGTCCTGAAGGAGCTGCTTCCTTGCCAGCTGGAACATATATTGTCCTGCTCCTCGTTTGCTCATAAGAACAGGGACAGAGAATGGGCAAATTTCCCTGATCTTTGTATTCGTCTCAAGTGGCCTAGGAAGTCCCACGGTATGTATATCTGTTCCCAAGCCCTTCTCCTATTGCACTGGGTCATATGCTTTGCAAAGGGCCCACACCTATTCCTCTGAACTTCTGGCCACTGTGACCCTCCTCAATGAGGCCTGACCTTTGGTATCCCATCCCAGGCCTGCAAGCCTATTGCTTCCCTGGCAAACTGTGTGTGCAGTCCAGCAGCAGGATACAGCCAGTGCTCAGCCAAGACAGGGCTATTTTGGGACAGGGAGGACCCCAGGAGGATGCTGGCGAGGTCAGCATAGGAAGGGAAGGAGGTAGGTTTTCTGCCCATGATTATGTGTCCCAAGCTCTCTGAATGCAGGCCAGGGGCCCAGGACTGCCACAAGGAAGAGCACACCCAGCCACAGGACTCTGGCCTCAGCCTTGGTTTGCCACAGAAGCAAAGGAGACAGGCGTGGGTATGGGGTGGTAGGCTCTGATCCCAGTGGCAACCATGGGCAGGAAGAGTGCCTTTATTTGCTGTGTCCCAGTGGTGGCGATTTCAGCACCAGGCAAGTGAGGCCAATTAACCAGCAGATAGAGACCATGAGAAAGAATCTAATCACCAGGAATGATTACTGAATTAGCATCCATCGAGAGCCCACTATAATGGGGACAACAGTAAGTGCTTGCAAGACAAGAGTGAACAAGACTTGGAATTGAGCTCTTTAGCAAACTCTGTTTATTAAACCCTAAGGCAATAATCAGAGACACACAAGGCAGGTGTGAAGAGCATGGTGTTTTGCTGACACATTTGAGAAATTTCAAGTCTTTGGAATGTTAGAACTCCCCTGGAGGCCACCCCTCAACACGAGGCAGTACTGTGCTTGCACACGGTAGGAGCTCACTTGGAGGACAGTGACAAAATCTGTTCTTGTGTAGAATGGGTTGGTTTTTGTGTTGAAGAAGTTGTTTTATTATAGGGTGGGGTAGGATGCCAGAGGGAGGCAGGCTGAGTGGAACCCAGCCACCCTGAGAGATGCATTTGCTCTGAGATTCCACGATATGCTCTGAGATTCCTTGACCCTTCCCAGTGCTCAGCTGGCTCTCCAAAATCCCACAAACCTCTTAGAACCCTTCTATTCTGCCTCCATTTGGGTCCTCTCTGTGGCTTTGGTCTATCTATTGTATCAAACTGCCTTCTGGAAAACTCTCCACCCTCAGGGTCCTCTCTCTGCTCTCTCCTCCTGCCTGCTCTGCAGGGCCCTGCTGGTGTCTCCTCCCCACCAAGGGCCTGCCCCAAGCCCTTCCTTTTTTCTGGTGCATCCCTCCTCCCCACCAGCCTCTGTCCTCCTCACTATCCAAGACTCCTGGATACCATGTGGCCTATCTGCAGACAAGGAGATAAGGAAGAGGTGACATGCTCTTCCAATCTCCTTCCTTTCTGCCCCATCCCTCCCCAGCTCAGCCTCCCAGGAGCACCTGCACCCGACATTCTGAAGCACAAAACTGAGTCTTGTTGGTCAGACACTCTGATAGTGGACAGGACATCTGAGGGCCACCAGCCCCTGTGGTTCTTTTCCCAATCAGGCAGGGAAGGGAGAAGGACAAGCCTCTGCCTGACCATCAATGTGCAGCTCACATTGCCCTGAACATCAGGGTATGGTGTTTGAGGAAAGAAATTGTGTGCATCTGACACATGAGGCAGTTGAAGAAATAATAATAAAAAAAGCATTCAATACAGATCAGGCATAGTGCTAATAACTGGATAATCCAGCATCATCTCACTGAATCTCTACCACATATTGGCCAGATGGCTATTCCTGTTTTCCCAACAAGGCAACTGAGGCACACAGAGAGGCGAAGAAACTCTCTGAAGTTCACTTAGCTGGAAATGTCAGAGATGGCATTCACCTATATCATCACTGGCTCCAAAGCTCCTGCCCTTAAGCAACATCCTATACTTTGAATAAAAAACAGTTGCCCAAGAATTAGAGGGACAACAGACATGATTTGGAACACGGGCAACCCCAAAACCCAGATGCATACTGTCACTGTCACCTTCGTCTCCAGCTTATCTCATTAATCTTGGCATCTCATTAATCTGGCAGAAAGCTTCTCCAGATCCCAAGGCCCAACCTGCCAGCCCCACAGGGAGGGAGCGAAGCATCCTAGGTCTCCTGGACAACCCTCCTCTGATGGGATCAGCTGAATCTCTTTGCAGTCTCACGTCTCCTGGGGCAGTATGCCTGAACTGTGACTCCCACCCCAGCCTGCTCACGCTCCTGCCAATGTGGTCCTCTATTTCCCATGTGCTTAGCATCTGTTGCCCTCTCTTCCTCAGCTTGGGGACCCTGGGTGAGGGTTCCTGAGGCTCTTGGCTCCTGTGGCTACAGGAGGACCTGCCAAAAAGCCCAGCAAGTGCCACCTGACCCTAGCAGGTGTCTAGAAGGCCACACAGGGCTGGTAGAGACCCCAAACAGGACTAAACTCCCTACAATTACTTACATGTGTTATTTGTCCCCCCCGACCCTTTTTTAGATCTTCCTTCCCTACCCCCACATGGCTATATTCCTTTCCAGATGTCAAGGAAACAGGGAAACTTACTCATCTGTTATCCTCATAGCTTAACTAACATGATCAGGAGCCTGGAAGTCCTCCTGAGCTACCATGTATCACTGGTGTTAACTGTGAGCAACACACTTGAATCTAGCACTCGGCATGGTACCCAGCACAGAACAGGTGCTCTGCACACAGCTTTAAACACATGAAAGGCCATAGCTATGGAATAGACCAATGACAGCTGGCATTATGGTCATGCTTGGTAAGAGATCTGCCCATCCAAGCGGGGTAAATGACAAAAGTAGAATCCGAATCCATATTGGACTGGTTACATGTATTGTACCATACCACCTGGCAACCAGTAGCAGTATCTTGAGGATCCCTTGTTTGACACAGGTAGCCCAGATGCCATACAACAGACATGTATCATCCTAAGCCACCTAGCTAGGGCAAACAAAGTCTAACCATTGAGGGCCATTCATTCACTCAGGCAACAAACATTTTGTGCACCTTATATGCATCATGAACTAGAGGTACAATAGTGAACATAGCAAGTCAGGTCCCCACTCCTGTGGGGCTATCTACCCTTGGACTCTGTGGCTCATCATGATTTTCAAAACATGGACATGTCTATCAAATTATCTTGTTTCACTACAACCTGATTTAAAGAATACCAGGTCCAAAGAAGAGTTGTGAATGACTGGATGAATGAGTGCATGCTTGAATAAATAATGCCTGGATGGATGGAAGGATGGATGGGGACAGGTGGGTCCTTCAGTGAGTGTTGGAAAGTAGCCATCATAGATACTGTCATTCTCATCTTTCAAATAAGAAGTGATGGCCTGAGTAGGGCATGAATCCAGCACGATCATGCAGAGAACCTCTGGTTGTGTGGTGCCTGTCCTACAGATGCAGGCTTCACCCATTCGTGGACTCCCTTACCTGGTGGGCAGTTACATCCTGAAGACATCTTTGGGGCCTCCCGGCGCCTGCGTGAATGGAGCTTCCATTTCTGCACAAAGAGACAGAAAAGAGGGGTCACTAAGTGGGAACTCATAAACACTGAGCTCTGAAAAGCATCTGGGACCAGTAGGGAGGAAGGGGAGAGGGGCGCATAGGGGACTGGCAGGGGGACAGCTCCTGGATCAAAGACTGGCAGTTAATGGCCCTCCATTGGCCATCAGGCATCTGGGTAATAAGAAGCAGAGAGGGTCTATGATGGCAATCTGTGTCTGATGTTCAGAGTGCTTAAAGAAATTAAGTCCAGGCAAAGGGCCCTAGAAACCAGTGGCCACCTGCCTGCATCCCACACTCAGGCACACAGTGACATGCTTTTCTCAGTGCTCTGTTAACTGTTTTCCTTCTTAGACTGGGCTCCCAGGCCAGATCAGAGTCTTCTGGTGTCCCTCACAAAACCGCACAGGCAGGTGAACTCCTTGGCATTCCTCCACCAAACCTCTTCCTGCACAGCTTGAAACCACTGATTGCGTGATGGTGAGTGGACAAGTGCATGCAAAATGGCCAGGCATGGCAGGCTGCCCACAGAGCCCAACATCTGTGCCTGCTTTGCAGAGGCAGGGAGCCTCACCAGGACTCTTAGGTGACCCTTGCAACAATGCAACCTGACTAACACAGGGGTCAACAGGGAGCCTCTGGAGCCAGATTGCCTGGGTTCACATGCGAGGCCCGGACCCTGGTTGATCACGGTCAGCACCTCCTTAGGTGACTGAGAGGACTGGGAGGATGGGTATACACAAAGAGTGTGCCTGACACCGAGGAGGCTCTCAATTAATGCCAGCCATGATTGCATTCGTGCCCTCCAAATGTGGAGGGCAGACCCCACTGGCCAAGGTCACAAGAAGTAAGGATGGAGCTGGGGTGATCTCACACTCTCACTCCAGAGCAGCAGGAGGAAACTGGTAGCCCCAGGTGCTCCTTAGCGTATTCCATTGGATCCCCACAGAGACTTTTAAAATTATTATCGAATGTGTTACCACTGCTTTGAAGCACGTGGTGGCCCATGCAAATTTGCACTTCTAATTTCTCTTGAAAAACCAGAAGGAAGGTCTGGTCTCAGACAGAAAGAGGGGGAACATTTCTAAGAAGAGATCCTTGCTTAGAGAGATTAGGCTGGGCACGCAGCTACAGATGGATAGACATTGAGCCCAGACTTCACATAGGCACAGAGTGGCTATTGGGCAAACATGTGACCTCCCAGGACAAAGGTTGGTGACGGGCCCTCTGATGCCCAGTTCTGAGCCTGACTCATCAATGTCACTTTCCAGTAAGGGACTTCAAGAGTCTATTTCTACACCCCTTTCCCACAAATAACCTATGGGCCTGGCACCCAGTGAGCATGTGACATCACTCTGCTAAATGACCGAGCTAGTCAATGACCCACAAGCCAAGGCCAGTAGAGTTTACAACAATCTGGAAAAGACTGTAACAAAAGGCTCATCACTCATTCAATGGCAGGTGGAGCAAGATGCCAACAGGAGCAGGCATGGTAGTCCCAGAGGTGACTACCACCACACATGTCTGTCCATCCACGTCTGTGCCCCTCTGCATCCCCCGCCTGTGCTCCCCACTAAGGCCAACCCCTCTATTGCACCCCAATCTCACCCTTCTGCCTGTTCAGGGATGTCACACCAGCAAGTCCCTGGCCCTCCTGCCTGATCAGGCTGGAATCCCCCAGCCTGTAGCATTTCATCGTTTACACTAGAGCCAGCACGTGCTTTTTGTCAAGGCCCCTGGTAAGTATTTTAAGGCTCTCTGAGCCCCACAGCCCCTGCCCCAACTACTCAAATGTTCTGTGGTAGACAAAAGCAGCCACAGACAATTCAAAAACAAATCAGCGTGACTGTGGTCCCATAAAAAGGGGTTTACAAAAACAGGCTGCGAATGGACTGAGCTGTGGTTGGCCCACCCTAAAACAATCATTGTGCAAACATGCTGTTCCTCCCATCATGAGAAAGAAAAGAAACATCTCCGCACTGGAGTTTGTGCTTTTCCTAGACAAACTCCTGGATGCCAGCCATTCTCCTGGCAGTTCTGCTTCTCTCCTCTCCTGTCCACTCTCACTCCTTCCTGCCTTGCAGAGGACTCTCCTCCAGTGGCCAGTGTCCCCATGTTGCTAAGTCTGGCAGCCAGTCCTTGTCCTCCCCAGCCTGCAGCATCACTATTTGCTGGCTTCTTTTCCTCTTGCACATGGCTTCCAGGACTCTGTGCTAGTTCTCTTTCCCTCCTACTGCCCTGACTGTTCCCTCTCTCTGTATCCTTTGCTGGCTCCTTCTTGTTTGCTTGATGCTTAAATGTTGCTGGCTGCAAGGGACCAGTCCAGAGCAGTCCAGGTGCATCTGGGACCTCACCTGGTGTTACAGCTTCTAAGCCATCTCCACATTTGCACCTCCAGCCTAGACTTGGCTGTACAGCTCCAGGTGGACAGCTAGCTGCATATCTACCTGACTTGCCACTAATGGGCATCTCAGAATTGGCACCCAAGACTGAGCTCCTGACTGTTCCACTCCTCAGACTGCCCCTTTCAGTGACTTCCCACCACAGGTGACACAACTGCATCCCACCAATTACTCATCCTTGATGATCAATACCTCTCTCTCTTACCAATGCCCAGTAGTGAGCAATTCCTCATCTCTGCCTCTCAGACACATCCAGATGGCCTTCTTCTCACCACCTCCACCGTAACCACATCTCATCTCTCTCCCAAGAACTACCATAACCTTCTAATCCACCCCCTCTTCTGCCTTTGTTCCGCCACCTGTTCTTGACAAAGCAGCCAGAACAATCACATAGGCTTCTCTCTCCTTCACATGCCAGGCTTTTTCCTGCCTTATGGCCTTTACACTTATGGTCTCTGCCTGGGACGTTCTTTTGCATCTACCATGCTCCCGATGGGACACTTTCTATCCCCCTCCCTGTTTCATTTTCTCTTTAGGGTTTTTTTCCTCTTATTTATCTTGCTTATTGTCTCCCTCTGTTATCAGAAGGTAAATTTCAAAGACATGGATAATTTGTTCTGTTTGACCTGCTACCACATCCTAGTGCCTAGAACAGGACTTAGCACAAAGCATATGTCACCTCAAGCCTCACCTCCTCAGGCTGCCAGCTCGGCCCCCTTAGGCATCTGAGGTTGAGACTTGGTGAGGAACCTCAGGATGAGACTAGAGTGGGGTGAGAAACTCTCTGAGACCCCAGGGTGGACCCCATCACACTGGGCAAAGATGCCTGCCTGCTTCCCCAGTTGGCAGCCAGGGCCTCCAGGAATGGCCTGTGTGGCCAGAGCTGAAACATCACCCGCCTGATGGGTCGCAGCTATTAAAATGCCTGTATCAGTATCAAAGGGAAACGCCAGGCAGTCACTGGCTCCCCCAGAGAATGCAGCTCCAGCCCGCCCTGGGTTTAGGGGCACTCCCCCACTCTGCCCCAGCCTCAAGGCTTTTAAAGGGGCCCAGCATGCTCCTGGGCCTCTGTTATACATGGGTTGGATCTAAGTTATAGTTGGGGAGCGAGCCCAGAGGGACAGGCTGGGTGAGCTCTGCATATCACACGGTGACCCTCAGCCCGGCAGCTGCCTACAAGGGGAGCCTGCAAAGTGGAGTATTGTCCCCTGCGAACTTCCTAAACACTGCTGTGGAGACAAGAGTGAGCTGACAGTTGCCATGGAAACCAGGAAGCATTGTAATAATCACCAATGATAAAGCTACACACATAGAAACCATACACCAGGCACTGTGGTAAGTGGGTTAGGAAAAATGTCACTTAACGATTAATTTTAGATATAATTAAGAGTATGACTCCTATTAGAACTGTATTTGGGACTGGCAAAGACGGTCCCCAAACTCCAATGAAGTGTGCCCTCAGTGTGGGGCAAGGAGCTTGAACTGATGTGGTGGTGTAGGGGCCTTAGGGGGTCTCACTTCACCTTTCCCCTAACTATGTTAGGCAGAGGCAGACCCCCCTGGGCTCCAGTGTGCTCACCCATAAAACAGGGATGACATGAGTAATCTGTTAGGCCATGCAGGACAGCTGGAAGGAGAAAGTGGGGCCGGAAACAAGCGGAAGGGCTGTGAAGACGGGTGAGTACCTGCTCAGCTGCCGTGGTGCTCTCGGTGGCCAGGTGAAGGGCACTCTGCCTGTCTCCTCCACAAACCCCTGAAAGACTGAAAGACTGTCAAGGCCCCTGCTGGACTGGCTGCTTGGGTGCATTGGGTGTACCAGCAAAGTAAGGGATCAAGGGTTCTGTACTTGCTACATCCCTCCATCCTTGGGCAACCTAGCTCTCTCTCTACCTGCATCCCCTTTTGATCCTGAGGCCTAAAAGCTGCAAGAAAAGGAAGTGCCTACCCACGGACATGACCGTGGCAGGCAGGCCCTTGGCCTCTGAGCCAGCTCCCTGTCTCCCATTCCTGGCACAGAGTAGTTCTTGGTTACATCCATCTTTTCTTAGCTGAAGTGTCCCTGGGCTGGAGACTGAGCTGGCCCTGTGGAGGCAGGGCCTGTGTCTGGTGTCTCTGGTCCTCACAAGACCCAGTCACTCACTTTAAGGTCTGCCCTCTATGCCAAATTCCTGGGTCCCAGGAGGAGGCTTTTGGGCTGGGCTTGAGCAGGATTAAGTTGGTTGGAGATGGGAAGAAGGGTCTTCTGGTGAGAAGCAAGGGTTCCAAGGCAGGACTGATTGCTAGGTGCTGGCCAAACCCAGAGATGGCACAAGAGGGCTGGGCTCAGAAGGAGTTTGTTAAGCGATAGGCCCATGTGCTGCCACCCGCCCCAGGGTGCAGGCAGCTTGGCAGGGTGAAATCAAAGTGGAGGAAACCCAGACATCCAACATGCACCCACCCAAACTGGACTTGCCCGGGCTGCTCTGAGGGCTTGGGTGCTAGAGGTGGCAGTGGGGAGGAAGAAAGGGGCTGTGGGAGCCTGAGGAGCTGTCTTCCTGCTCCGTCCCCAGCTCTCTTTGTGCAATGGACTTGGCACCTGATTACAGACTCCCAGGGC